CCGCATAAGTCCGTAATAAAGCCAAGCTCCAGTAGCAGTTGCTCTGAGCAGCGAAGCGCGCAGGCGCGTAGTCCGAAAACTCCCAACGGCGTCGACTATGTTAATTAGTGACAATGTGATTTCTGGCCCTGAAGGCGCTGCTTCGCCCCCGCCCCTGGCCACGCCCACTCCCCCGCCGACAACGGGTCGAATGATTAATTTGCTGGCACTGAAAGCAGACTACAGGCTGAAGTAGGTTGCCTTAAATTCCGCTAAATGCCATAATAATATGCTTCTTCTTTTCTGGTTCTTCTTCTCTTGTGCATTTGCAAAACAATGGCGTTGAAATTAAAAATGAAATTCCACTTTATGACCTTAACAAATTTGCAATCAACATAATTCCTCATGCTATGACTCTTTAGACTTTATGTTGCGTATCGAAAAAGATTTTTTTACCACAAAAAAAAAAAAAAAACAGAAAACATCATCTATAACTTTACTTCTAATTTTTTCTGTTCTGCTCTGTTGCCAAAGCAATTTGTGGGAGGTGAAAACTATCTTGCGTTAATGGCTGAATTTAGCGTAATTAATACGGTGAGGCCGTAAATGAAGTAGAAGTAGAAGTAGAAGCAGCAACCCGAGGTGATCATATTTCCCATTCGGCCTCACATTGTATGGTAATTGCCTTGGAAACGGTTGCGTTCTTCTTGGTGGGTTCTTAATTTCATATGAGCAGGATTCTCGATAATTTGGTTGGCTTTTAATTTATTTTTCGCTCATGTTTAATTATGTGTTTTCTGAATTCCAGGGAACTGGATTTGATTTTTATGCCAAAAATTACTGGCTAAAGAAAAGATTACTACACTTTTAGATACATATATTAATTATACATAAAAACATATTTGTACCTAAAACCTGAAGATACCTGAAAACGTATGTATCATAACAAGTTCAGCTTAATAGAGCAAGTTATTAAAAGTTTAACAAAATTCAGTATAAATATGCAATCATAAACACTGCCAAACGAAAGTGAAAATGACAAGCACACTTTTCTACCTTTCACGGTGACTGTCTGCCACATGTCTGTCTTGGCGAGAACTGAAAGATTGTCATTCTATTGTCATTTTCAAAACCAACAAACTGTAACTAAACCTGACAGAGGGCAAGTGAGATGGAGAATTTACGAACTGTCACATGCGAGAACCCCGAAGACATGTGACTGGAGTTTCTCAAATAAGAGGGGGGTGGGGGGATGGTGGTTTACGAATGGAGGTGCTTTGTTCAGTCAGATGGATCTACAAGTCAAATGTGCATTAAATGTGTCATTCTGTGAAGCAACCAACGACTGGTGGAGATCGCGGGATCCAAAGAGGTTGAAACAGAAACAGTTCTATGGTCGGTTGATCGGTCGGTTGCCTGGGCTGAGGTTATATGGAGCTTTATTGCGATGATGATGACGATGACGATGATGATGATGATGAATCAACAGCCGGCAAGAGGCAACAATGGCAACTCTTCAAGCTTGGACAAACATTTCACGCATCAGGCATTTTATTATGTAGAAATAAAAAAAAACACATACAGAAAACAACAGAGGAATAAAGGCAATACGAACACTAAAACTTCATGAATGGCAAATCATAGAATAGGAACAGCCATATAGCCCGGTGATTTTCGCAAAACTAAATTTAGTGAAACAATGGACGAGTGAGGGAGACTGGAAATGGATTTTCACCGCAGAGCTCCCAGAGCTAAATAAACTTGATTTCTCTCCACTTCGACTTGGGTTTCATTAAGGGTTTTAGACACAGCCTAATGACATCATACGCGGGTAAAGCAAAAAACAAATCAAATTTGAACAGAAATGGATATGTACGAGTATATATGTTTTCAGAGAAGGAGCGCAGAACAATGAATGAAGGAGAAGCAGAAGAAAAACAACCAAAAAAGGCAGCGGCAATTTTGCGTGCAAATATCTAAGATACACTAGCCTAGATACGCTCTCAACCAAAACATTGAAAGACCCTGGTCATGATGAGGTCTATAGTCCGTCGAACAATCCGCCAGCTCACATATGTATCTGTGGGCTATTGTATCTCCGATGTGTGCAAAAATTTTCAACCCGCTGACTAAGCGTTAGATACTGTAAATTTATCGAATCCGAATGAGAATACTGTGGCGTGGGGGATTTTTAAAAAATACTTTCCATATGAATGGATGAAAATTAAGAGGGTGCTCAAATACCGAATGCCACCCGACTTATGCATAGATTCCAGCTGTGTTAAAGTGCAACACCGTAAATCATTCAACTACTAAGCCAACGACTACCCCCTCCTGAATCTTCAAGTGATGATGAAACTTTGAAACATTTTCAGCTTTTTTGCGCTTCGCTGATTTCGCTTGTAGGTGTTGCACCAGTGGGAGGGTCAAATTAAAAGAAGAATACACAGTATAAATGAGAAAAGACTCAGTTCGTTGGCCATAGCAAAAGTGAAGCGTGTTCATGACACTGTTTTTATTATTTGGAGATTTGGAAACTCGTTTGCCAAAGGCATGAACTCGATTCTTAATGTGTATAATTAATCATAATTTGTTTTTAGTTTTAATGAGTGACTTTTAAGGCCTAGACGTGAAGGTTTTCTTATTTATTTTCATTTATTAACTAGGCACACCTGGATGCCGTAAACGCAAGGCACTCATCTGCATAATTACCTTTGGAAAGGGAGAGCCTAGGAGTTAAGTGCCAGGAGCCGGGCTAAAAGTGTCAACGAGTCACGCACTTAGGACCCCAGAGCCAACAGTCTTCCCGGAATCTCTATAGTAATCCTCTCCAGCTGGGGTCAATCAATTTTTCACACAGCCCTTAGAGAGAAAAGGCGAGATCCACACTCGTATGCAAATGATCGGGGAGGGTAAACATCAATAATATGCAAATGCAGCAAATTAATGACTGACAAAAAGACAATCGAAACGAATTAAGAAAACCAGCCTACAAACCACTGGCCACAACACACACAGAAACGATCCAAACCTATCCGATCCGATCCGAGTCGCATAATTTCCGTAGATGCGGGCCGGGCAGGGACAATGACTATCCAACATCGGTGGATGGGGCCCCCAGACGAGGGTGGCTTATCCGCAAGATTGAAATAATAACAATGCTGACAACAGGGGCTACTTCCACAACAACAGCTCAAATGATTGAATCAAATTGATGCCGAGAACCTAGCCACTGAAACGATCATCATGGACTTACATATGTCCAACCACAGAGTGACTTTGATGGGGATTTAATTTAAGTTAAGGTATAGGATCGATTTAAGAAGCTTTGCAGCAGGAATTGGAGGAGTTTTCACAGTACATTATGTTAAAAGCTGATGACACTACATTCTTGGCCTAATTGCAGAAATTTAATTTAAAATTAAGTAAAATAAAAAAGAAAACAAATGCAAGAGTATAAAAAAGGGACCGAAAATATTCATCCCTCTCCCTACTTTTTGGTTAAGTCAACAAATTGATTGTTTCATTAGCCGCGCACACGTCGGCGACTGGAATATGTAAATGCTTAAACATTTATGATCATAATGTGTCAAAGACCATAAATTCAATTAATTTATTATAATGGCAGGAGTGGGCCTGGTTTGCTTGGACTTGGAGCAGCGACGCCATCTCCATGACCATCGCCAAGTGCAGACGGGTCCATGCTGGGGGTCAGTTGATTAATAATACAAAATTTGTAGCGCACACTATATCATCTTGACACTGCAACTCTGGAGAGACAAAAGGGGCACAATGCAGCCTGATGATGGTGATGATGTTGCTGCTGTGTTCCAATTTGTACGGCGACGCATTAAATAAATGTATCTCAATCTCAAGCTGTGCCCTGGCGTCGACTCCCTCCGCATCCCCCTCGCCCTCCTGTGCCCCTAATATGTAAACAATTTAAATAGATATTTAGATATGCTGCCTACGCTGGCGCCAAGCTCACACCGACAGGCAGCTCGCTATTTGTTTTAAAATTTAATTTCCGTTTCAATTTCACATAAATAAATTAAAATCACAAAAATATAACTCAGATAAAGTCAAAACAAGCTCCATGGGCTGCATTCCCCAAGACAGATATCGCTTTGGGACCGGGGAAATATATAGTATCTGTGCAAATGAATTGTTTGAATTGGCTCTCCATTTGAATTTAGTTATGGATCTGGTCGTGATTTAGAGTCTTGTGCCGGATGCACTAAACACATGCCAAACAACTGTTCATCATTTGGCCAAATCGATGCGGAGGATGGTGCAATAAATAAAAGTGATCGCTTAATGAGCTCCAATATCCATCTCACATCGATCGGTGTAATTTCAATATCGGGTAATTTTTCGGTCGATTACGTTCAGGAATGCTGAATGATTTTGGCCATACATTCGGTCTTTAAACGAGCAACAAGTGAATAAAGTATTTCACTGATAGTTTCCGATTTAGTTTACCTACACACGTTTGTTTTTCACTAGACTGTATTTCTTATCAGTTGTTAAGACTTTTTTTTTGCAAAGTCTAACCTTTATCATATCTTTATGGAGTATACATCTGTAAAGTTTATTGTTTCCTAGTGCTAGAAATTTTAAAAGAACTAAAAACTAATGACTAGCTTGTGATAGGTTACATTGAGAAGACTGTGGAATTTTAATTTCTCCATGTGTAATCAAATGTTTTAAATAGACAATACTTCAAATTACTTGATAAGGAAGAAAAAAAGTAATACCTGAGTGAAATCGTGAATGCCTGATTAGAAAAGGAAGTAATGTGAATTGATTGATAAGGAAGTTACTCTACCACTCAAAAAGGCGGAATCGGAAAGGTAATAATAAGCTGCAAATAAAATAAACTACAAGATAATCTTTAACAAACTGTAAGCAATAACATTTATTTTCCATGTCCTAAGCCTTTTCCAATCAGAAACCCACTTTTGATTCAATTTAATAGATATTAAAGTATGCAAAAATACCTTTCGGATTGGTTTACTTACCGTTGTGGGAGTGGGGCGTTCCTGGGTGGAAGTTTTTATTATCACTGTTCCCCGCCGACGTCACATAATCCATGGAAAGGCGGCTGTTTATGCTGCTGTTGTTGCTGTTGGCGGGTGGCTCGGTGGGGTAATTGGCAACCTGGTGGTCCGATCCACAGACCGAGGCAGTGGTGGCCGACTCAAAGGAATTGCCGTGCACAATATCCTCATTTGGTTTCTCGCAATCTTGTTTGGTTGGAGAAAAGGTAGACAACAAATCAAATTAGTTGCATAAAAATACTAATAGGGTTTACCCAAACTAAGAGCTTGGCCAACTCAATAAATCGTAGATATGAAAAATTCAAAATTTGTTTATTTTTCGTCATGTCTTCCATATTTTCTATACCTACTGTACACTAAAAACTTCTTAGGTGCATATCTAAATGTTGCTTTTAAGCTTATATAAATAATGTTTAATATTTACACAGTAATAATAAAATAAAAATAAAATAGTTTTATTGAAGTTTTTTTTTTAATTATTTTATCTACTTTTATTTCTTTTGACAAGCAAACATTAGTTTTTGTTCTAGGAGTATGAAGTAAGTAATAAGTAGTAATTTCCATCAATCTTTGAAAATTGACGAGTGTCAATTTTTTTTAACATGTAGACACTTTTGAAATCAAATTTCAGCGTGGACAGGAAGCCTCAGAAGGACAAAAAAAGTGGAATATAAAGAGTTTGAGGGTGCTCAACAGGTCAGAGAACCGGTTGACACTGCCACCCACTCCAATCAACCCGATAGACCCACCCCAACCATCGTGGACTCCTGACTTTGTTAGCCAGGCTTCCGTTCTGGGTTTCCCTTGGTTTGCTCTGGTGTTCTTTGGGGCAGGTAAATTTTGTTACTGGCGCCAGTCAACTTAGTGTTTATGGCTTACTCTTTACCGCCGGCTTACTGGCATTCGGCTCACGTACTCACCTTTCTGCAGGATGTCCAGATGCTCCCACAGAATGTCGCCGGTAAAGGGCGGCGTGATGGCCAGGAACTTTTCCTTGCCCAGATCGACCATGGCACGGCCCTTCATCTTGTAGAAGGGGTCCAGGTTCATCGAGACCAGCGAGAACTCATTCTTGGCCCAGTTGAGCCAGTAGATGACATGCTCCTCCGTCCATTCACGGGGATCTGCATGGGAAGAAACACAAAAAAAGTTTGGGGGAGTGTAAATAGAAATATAAATATAAATAGAGATGGAAATTAATCGTTTTCTAATGCCTCTAGCTCAGTGGCGACTTAATTAAGCGTGGGAGCGCACTTTGTTATTGCTGTGGGAATCTATTAATATTCATTGGCACTCTGGCCGGAACTCCAATTGATAGTTCACGGTTAGTTTAGGACTCTTTTTTTATTGGCTGCACGATACTGACGAATTAAGATAAGGTTATTAATATGAAAACAGTTCAAAAGTCAGCAATGCGGTTCCCAGAAATCTTAGTTGAGCTCCAAATTCCAACGAAATCTGGATTTGAATTTTGGGACATCCTTGTAAATACCTTATTTTTTGGCAACTTGTTTAATGCAAGAACTCTTAAGTTGAATCACACGATTGCAATAGCTTTAAAATTAAATTAACCGTAACCGCGAATTCCTTAGCACCACATTCCCTATCAAAGAATGTCCAATCCATAAAATGTATCCCTGAAATTTGTAGTTTTTGCTTGTGTAGTATATTCTTACCTTTGGTTATGTTGCAGTTTTGGACCTCCTTTTCCCAGGAGGCGAAGGAGGCCTTTAGGACCTCGTTGACCTTGCGATTGGTGCCCGGCGTGAGGGGTGGCAAGGCGGTGGGAACATCTGTAAAACAAACAAAACCATATATGACGTTATTTGCGTTTTTTTTTTTGGGTTTTAATTGCTCATAGCTAAAAATTCTATAGTACGGATTGAGGGCCATTGGCGAACCTTTAAGCTTGCTGTGATTGGTGGACAGCTGTTGCAGCTTTTGCGCCTTCAGGTGGAATTTGCCCGAGAAGCACTGATAGTTGTTCGGCAAGAAGGTTTGGTGGTGATGGATATAGTTGGAGGATCGCAGTGGCGGCAGCATGCGACTGTCGTTCCAATCGATCCACTCATTGGTCATAGTCAGGCCAATTATGGACTTGCCAACGAATTTGTTTACGCACTGGGTGTCAGGGGTTAAAAAGGTCGCGGGAGACGGTTCAATTGATCTTAATTGATTGGTGCGGCACAATCTTGACCCGTAATGTCAGTGAAAGTCGCGACCCTTTCACAGCGCGGTCTAATATCCGTCAGATACAAATGTATCTTGGGCGTGTGCAATTGTCGCGCCTTAATTGTGGTAATTAAACGTTAATTGCATATATCACAGCACCATTAAGCCATTAACAGATTGTCAGCATACGCAAACAGGTTTTTAGAAACACAGACACTCGCTTCTTCAGATTTATTCAAATTTGTTCATATTTCTTGTTCTTTTTTTAATCAAAACACACGAAACGGAAAAATATATTTTGTATTTCGCTCGTCGTTCGTTCTGTGTATCTATCGGATTGCTGGATTTGTGAAGCCAAACTGAAACGAAACGATCGTATCCGTAGCTATAGCTGCATGTCCTAAGCAGCGAAACGAGCGGGAAAGAGAGAGAGCGATCGGGCAGAGAGTTATATTCCCAGAGAGAGCGCAACAAGTGGGACTGGAACTCGTAAATCTTTGATACTCTAGCGGAACGAACTGGAATTCATTCATAAAACGATTGCTCTCTCGCTTTGTATCGGCTTGTGTGTGTGCTGTGTGTGTTTGGAACGGAAACGGCCATCATCACAGCAACAACAACAGCAGCAGATAGCGAAACAACAACACGCTGCCAGGTTGTTTGTTTAACCGAGAGAAGAAGGCAAAAGGCAACGAAAAAACAAAAAACAAAGCACACAGGCACACGAAAAAATTAAAGCAAAAAATAAAGAAAGAGAACAAACACAAATAGAAGCGACCAGTACATTTTTTTTAACGTTAGCAACAGGTGACCAAATGCGCCGATTATACAGGGTGTAAAAGGTTCAAAAAATAGAAAACTGCTCATTTTTCCTACTAAAATATCGTATTAAATCCATGACGTTATTTAATCGCTTTTACAACTCATATTCCGGTAATTTCAAATAAAAACTCATTTAGTAAAGATCAATAATGATATTTGAGTCATTAAAAATGTACGATCTATAGAGCTTTGAGTTATAGAAACCGAAGCTATAGTACGATTTTAAACATTAGTTTTTGCCAGTGCCGTTCATATCTTTTTTTTTATCATAGTTTTATAATATTTTCTTTTTTTCAGATTGTGAAGCACATATGGCAAATCTACTCAAGTTTCTTCCCTCACTTAACTCAAGAAAAAAATTCCGAGGCACACAAGCAATTTATGAATGAATTTCTTGTCTTGCCTCACACGCGCATTCGCCTGAAAAGAAACTCCAGACAAAAAAATAAAGGAAAAGAAGAAGACACCGATATTGTAGTAAGGGAACGCTTCGCATTTTGAAGATACAATACCTCAGGCGGTAGCAGCAACAGCAGCAGCAGCAACAACAATGATCGGGACGTCGACGTCGACAGAGGCCGCTTCCGCTGCTTCCGTTCGATGTATCGAACACCCAATGCCAGCGATAAGGTGGGAATGAAAGGCCGAGAACAAGAAACGCACAGGTGGGAGGGAGAAAACGGAACCCAGGGCAGAGGAGAGGATAAGATAAAGCTATTATTATGATGACTCTACGCGACCAGGTAAATTTATGAATGAATACGAAACATTGACTCCGCAGCTCTACGTCTATGAGTGAATTGAAATTACGTGCGACGGAGGGAGACGCAGGGAGATCATTTGGTCATTATCACAAAACCGCATAATTGGCGACAAATGCAGGGGAAACCCTTTGGCTTTGGCTTTATCTTCGTCACTACTTGTACCTGCCCGACACCGGAAAAAATAGCCCAAGGCATTTAATCTACTTGGGATATTTTTAAAACAATAATTAATTTTCTATCGATTTTCTTTTGCTATGAATGTTTTTGACGGTATGTAAATAATTTAATTATCTAGATTTTAATTTCTGTTTCATATATTCAATAGTTTGAAAAATGACACAGATACGTTTTTATGTCTTGAATTGTATATTATTAGACTTGACTTATTAGAGTTCACCAAATTACAATTTGTACTGCACATTTTATCCTTATTCTTTCAGTGCACTTGCTGGTCCCAAGGTGGGCTGCGTGTTAAAGAAATTACTTCTCATAGCCATGACTATGGGCCCTGTACATATTTGGCATTGCATACATATGTATTATAACAATTATTATGACTTGTAGTCGTAGAAGAAGTAGACGCGAGGCACTTCAAAGCCCAGCACTTACAACTCAAAATTACAAAACGTCTGAGCGTGTTCGAAATTCATTATGCGAATAGACCCAAGTCGGGGGTATCCGTCCAACTCGGAGCACCTTTGTGGACCTGGGCCACACACATGGCCAGGAATCATTCTGTGGAGCCACTCCAGCCGATGCGCTGCGGTTGGTAATCTTACGAGGTGTTCATTGTTCGCTCCTAGTTGCCTCGTTTTTTGCAGCTCGGCTTGGAAATGGGTCAATCACGCCGACCACCGGCCTGTCTGTCTACTGACTTCTCATAGCACGAGATGAATCCATTCACGTCACGCTGGCTTATCTCGTAGCGGCTCTGCTGGGAGGCCAGCGAATTACTACACTTATGATTAATTTCATTTAATTGTTTTAATATTTATATATTTCCACATACTGGCATTTGATTTAAATGATAATTAGGTATCTCTTTAATACAAGTTTTATTTAGTTTGGTTTTTAATTTGATTTTAATTTCTCTTATTATTATCCTTTCGAATTTTTAATTTCGTAGCTTGTTAGACTCAGCTTACCTCAGCTAAATATTATCGTTTGCAAAGAATGTTGTTCACTAATCCAAGAACAACATACGATGGGGGAAGCCAGGATTTAACAAAGGTCATTTAAGTTATAACCGTTTTCATAATTACTCACAATTTGATTCCATGTTTCCAAGTTCTGATTCTCAACAAAATCCAGAGTTATGCCGGTTTGATAGCTATATAGCTCATATATCTGGACCAGTTACTGAGGCTGGACTACGATAGAAAAGTCACGTAGACCCCCGGAAAGGAATTGAGAACATTAGAAGTAACGATCCCTGTGGTGTTCGAGTCCCAAGCTTGCAATCTATGCACATATGTGTAGATGCTTTTCGTAATAAAACGGCCCACGCTACCCTATTTCTGTTATAATCGAGCTATACGTCAATGGGTTGTGCTGGTTAATGGGATACTGTGGGTTTTGGGGGCGAACTTGTGCTAATCTAAGAGAGTGAGTAATTGGCGCAATTAGCACACGGTTCTTAGACGCGAGCTGGAAAATTCTTATCGCAATTCTTAGAAACAGGGACTCGCAAACTGTACTCACAAATGTTTATTGGTGCAGGTTATTTTTAAGTAAAATTACGTCTTATCAGGAGGAGACCTGCCTCCCGATAGAGCAGGCATCGAATGCTAGATAACAAGTTCATTCATCGTTCTACTTCAAAACAGCTACTTGGCAAAGTTAACGCAAAATTTGATAAGTGTAGGTTATTTTAAAAAACATTACTTCTTATCAGGAAGGGACGTAGGAGATAAGTTAGGCATCAAAAGTTAGAAAATAAATTCATTTATAAAAAAACTTGAGTTCATAAACAGTGACTTAAAAACACTTTCAAAAATGAATTAGATCAGGTCAATTTAAAACAAATTAGAGGAGGGACCTCTGCCTCCCGATAAGTGAGCATCTAATGAATGAAAATAAGTTCATTCAAATAAGTCTAGAGTGATGGCCCTGTTTCTTCGCGTAACCTTGAACAGAGACTTGGAAACAGTACTTGCAAAACTTAATTATTGCGGTTTTTTCTAAACAAATTTCGCCTTATCAATGGGACGGCTAGGGTGAGCATCTATTGAATGAAAATAAGTCAACATATTTCTGCCCGTGATCTTAAACAAAGCCTTGGAAAAAATACTTCTTGATTTAGTAGTGCAGGTACTATTTATAAAAAATTACCTCTTATCAGGAGGACCCCTGCCTCCCGATAAGCCGAGCATCGAATGAATGAAAATAAGTTCATTCAAAAAGGTCTAGAGTGATGGTCGTATTTCTTCGCGTAACCTTGAATAGAGACTTGGCAACAGTACTTGCAAAAGTTAATTATTGCGGTTTTGACTAAACAAAACAAGCCTTATCAAGTATTAACCTTTGCCTCCCGATAAGGACGAGGATTCATCAAGAGTCTAGAGTGATCACCGAATTTTGAAAAAATCGTACTCATTTATTTATTAGTGCATTTTTTTCATAAGTTTGCCACCCGATTAGGTGAGCATCGATGTTTGTGAAATAGGTGCTTTGCCACCTATTCGCCGTGAACTGTGAAATGCCATTTCCGTTTCCTGTTGTGCTCAGGTCGTTATCAAGTGATAACCAGAGAAATTGCAATTTGAATGGAGTGTCTGATTGTCGAATCGAATCAAAGGCAATTGAAGCGCACTTTAGCGCTCCAACCTTCCCTCAGTTTACCTAAAAGCGCAACAAGCTGCACGCAATTTTCTTCTGAGGGAAATTGCACCGAAGAAAATCGTGTTGAACTTCGGATTATTAGTTGGTAGGCTTACACTTTTATTTTATGTTCTTTGCCCTTGGAATAAAAAAAAACACTTCGTTTTTAAAAATTAAATTTAATGCAGATTAAGGATTCTTATTTCTTGAGGAAT